CTCTGATAAAAAGTTTTCGGGTGTGGGTTGTTAACGTTGGGCGGGTTTTTTTACCGTTTTAGCAGAAGGACAGGAAGTCTAAAAAGTCAACCTGGAAGTTTTGCCTTGACTTGACCCATCCTGTGGAAGATGGCATCTTTGATTCTGGGAATTTTGTAAGTCATGGTTTTGCTTATACTTCTGCTGCGTGGTATAATAACAGCCTTCATACAGTAGGACAACTACTTTAAAGGGTGGCAGAGCGCTGGCACAGGCTGCCCAGAGAGGTTGTGGCGTCTCCTTTTCTGGAGATACTCAAAACCTGCCTGGATGCATTCCTGTCCAACCTGCTCTAGGTGAACCCGCTTGGCAGGTGGGTTGGACTAGATGATCTCCGAAGGTCCCTTCCAACCCCTACCATTCTGTGAATTACTACTGAAAAGTTATGTTTTAAACTAGTAAAATCCATAGCTGCTCTTTAAATTATCAGTACTTTTCAAAAGTTTCTTGGGTTTAGATGTGTTCTGTAGACAAGATGGTTCATACCTATCCACAAATAGAACTATTTTAAATTGAATCCTGTTGTAGCACAGGGGTGATTTTTTTAATTGCACACTGTAAAATCTTACTGCGTTGTAAATACTTGCTATCAGGACATAAGTAAACAGTGATTTTTAATACTGCTCTCTGGCTAGGGTCCCTTCCCTAGTTCATACCTAGGGTGCCATTCCCTAGTGTTCTATTTCTTTAATGTTGAAACAGGAACAGTTCCTAAAGGAGAAGGTTAAGGTCAATGGAAAAACTGGGAACTTGGGCAACACCGTTCACATTGAACGTCTGAAGAACAAGATCACAGTGACATCCGAGAAGCAATTTTCTAAAAGGTTGGCATGGGTTTCCTTTTGTTGTATTTGTGACAGTGGATTTTGAACAGTGCCATGTTGAACATGGTGCACTTCTGATGCATACAGAGAAGGTGTTAGCTCCAGCCTTCATAGCACTTGTAAATATTAGTGAAAGACTTAAACAGATTTATGATGTTTTATAATTTAAAAACTGCTTTTTAAAACTTGAGACTTGATGGAAAATTAATGCTCCCTCTAATATAAGCATAGTAATACAGAAATGCTTTATGTGGGTTGTTAGAAGTGTATCAAGGAAAGACAGGCTTTTGAAAGTCAGACTGAATTCACGTTACAGGTGAGTGTTTTATTACTTAGTTGATTGTCT